CACAACAAGGGACATTTCGCAGTGTCTAAAACAGAAGATCTGCTAAAAAACGACTTTTATATTTCTAACCTTAGAAAACGAATTGAGCAAGTTATTTCAAATTGTGTAGAATGTATTTTGCGCGACAGAAAACGAGGTAAGAGCGAAGGATTGCTGAATCCCATACCAAAAGATAGTATTCCTTTGAGCACTTTTCATATCGATTTTATAGGACCATTACCGTCGACAAATAAGAACTACAATCACATCTTAACCGTGGTTGATGCATTCACAAAGTTCGTATGGCTCTATCCAGTAAAGTCTACATCAGCTCAAGAGGCATTGCAGAAGCTGAAACTGCAACAATCAACTTTCGGTAGTCCTTTGAGAATTATAAGTGATAAAGGTACGGCATTTACCTCTAAAGTCTTTGAAGATTACTGTAGTCAAGAGAAGATCCAGCACATATTCACAACTACCGGCGTTCCTAGAGGAAATGGACAAGTGGAAAGAATTCATCTCACTCTGATTCCAGTCTTATCTAAATTATCCATAGATGATCCAACCAAGTGGTACAAATATGTTGGAGATGTACAAAGGATCTTAAACAGCACTAAAAGCAGAAGCACAAAGAGTTCTTCATTTGAGCTTCTCACTGGTGTTAAAATGAGAATCGAGAGGACTTAAAGATTAGGGAAATTCTTGAAGAAGAAGAAAGAAATACTATGATGAAAGATCAAGAAGATATGAGAGAGGAAGCAAGAAAAAACATTCTAAAAATTCAGGAAGAGAATAGAAAAACATACGACAAGAAGAGAAAAGAGGCACAAGTATACAATGTGAACGACCTAGTTGCCATACAAAGAACGCAATATGGAGGTGGACTAAAGTTAAGGCCAAAGTTCTTCGGCCCATATCATGTAACAGCGAGGAAAGGCAAAGATCGTTACCAGGTGGAAAAAGTGGGACACCATGAAGGTCCTGGATGTACCACTACAGCAGCTGATCTCATGAAGCTGTGGGACCGTTCTACTATATAGAACCATGTGTGGTTCTTTCACACTTCTTTCTTTTTGTTTTTTTTGTTTTTTTTTCCTTTTCTTTTGTTTTTTTTTAAATTTATTTTCAGGTGCAGTCTTGATGTTCCAGTGTTGCTGATCCGTGTTTTCGAGGACGAAAAAGTGTCAGACGGCTGAGTTGTAGTATCTGGAAGTGCAACACAACCACCAGAGGTCCTCACCGATGCGCCAGCAGCGAGGTGAAAGGAGTATGACAGAGACTCTTCTGCTATCCCACGCGAAGGTGGTGAGATGTCTGTCTGCACGTGAAGGTGTAGAATAAGGAACTGTAGTTTTCCATGTGAAGGTGTTAAATTGAACTGTTCAATACATCAGCAAATGCGAGTAGGCACTAATCGGTTATGTGGTAAGACTGGTAAAACTATACAGAATCCTGTTTGTATCAAACGGCACTTGTAGTTAATCTAATTTGTACCTTTTCTGATTATCTTTATTAAATGTTCTGTGGTGTGGAAAACAACGTTGGAATTGTTATTTAGCATCTTCAACTCCCCCACTACATATATATATATATAAAGGAAACAATGTGAAAATATTACTCTTAATAGCCACGAAAGTGCTGTACATAAAAAGTAATGAATACATATATGCAAAATGCTTTGCACAATAGAACCTGAAGCTGTTTTATTTAATGATTCTCATTCACACCAAAATAATCAAAATTTATTGTGCAAAGAAATCATAAACAGAAAGACATACCATAATTCTGCATAAGACATAGCATTGAAGGTGCAATAAATACCTTTACAATTAAGGAAAAAAAAAAAAAAAAAAAGATATCTCTAAGTTTCCCTGAAACAATTTTAAAAGCAGCAATTGAATGCAAAACTCTAATGCTAAAGAAAAAAAAATCTATATTTAAAAATCCTGTTATTTTATAGTTCTTGATTTCACAAAGCATTTTCACTAGACCTAACTGCATATGATTTCATTAAAGAGGAAATAACATGCTTTTTTCTTTACACTATTATCTAGCCTGGATTACTATTGTTTCAAGATTGCAGAGTCCAGTTTTTATCCATGATGAACTTACAACTAAAATAATATGTGGGACGTTCTATAATTAACGTTGCAAAAGTACTTCGTTTTTCATTAAAATGAATTACTCATCACATGATAATAAATTGAATTATTTCATTTATTATCAAGTGATGAATAATTCAGTATACCTTTTTGGGCTCCATCTTAATTTTTTGACTCAAAATGAATTAATCAAAATAAATTTTTGATTAAAATGAATTATTAATCACATGACAATAAATCGAATTATTTAATTTAGGCAAATCAGAACATGATACCTACGCTCCATCTTAATTCTAGTAATGATAGAAGACATTAAAGGAGGAAAACTTTTTATAGACAAACTACATAAAACAAAAGTTAGTTTTTTCCCTAATAAAAAATCACATTATATACATATCAAATATTTAAAAATGCATATCATTATACATATTTGTTACAGAATCTGACAACTTGTGATTTGCACATTTAAAATATGTGCAGTAGAAAGCCAGTAAGTAATTCCCTGTTCTTCACATGGTAACTTAACAGCAAATGAAAAAATAATAATAACGCTATTGATAAAAAAAAGATATGCTGACATAGTTAAATAGATAGCAGATAAAAATGTTAATTTTCAAATGTATATTTTAAATAGCACTTTGAATATGTTACTATTGCAGGTAAAGGAAAAAGAAAATTCTCTTACCTGGCAACTTTTGATTTGAATTCTTTTTCTGACCTACTTTGTATTAAAAAAATATTGAACAGTATATGCTAATGACTTATTATACATTTTATTCCCTGTAAGTACTTTCATGGATATTTGTAACTGTTCATGCTAACTGAATGCATAATTAATTATATTCTATAAATATTACACCCAGCTAGTAAATATAATGTAAAATTCAATATCAAATAAGTCACAGCTTAGCAATTTTATACCAATTACAAACTCAACTGTCACAATTCAAAAGTAAAAAAAACTATACTCTCAGCTTACCACAGTTACATAGCCTATATAACAAAATCTGCACTGATATTCAATGAAATCAAGAAAAGTCTGAAAAACAGCTACAACTCTATTGACCTTCAGACAATTCTTCAGCTCCCCCTCCCCCATTGCATAATTTTTAAAGAATTTTTGTATTGTTAGGTAGGTCTTCATATATCCATCTTACAGTTACTGAAATTTTGTCTAAGCAATTCATCTTATGAGATGGATTAAGAATAAAATCCTGAACATTCCATAAAACAAAATTTTATAGGTATTGATGGATGGACACACACACTGAAAATTCAATTCAACAGAATCAAAGCACACACTAAATAAACATATGACACAGCAATTTTTAAATTAATTAGTGTTTAATTTAAACTTGCTTAAATGCTAAGAAGTTCCAGTTCCTATCACCAAACTGCTTGTGCTTCAATAAAAATACCTTGAATTACATAATAAAAAAATAATGTAAATCAATGCAGATAGAAACTATGTATTTAGGAACGTTGACTTTGAGAATACACTCAAAAACTTTTTTTCCTAACAAATATCTGCTCAAATCTGGCATTAGCAGAAACACAAATAACAAGCTGTTATGACTTGCTGATGAAAAGCTGAGAATAAAATAAATACATTAATACAGGCAATTATAATCATGTTCCACTTAATTTTTTTTCTCAAAATCAATTCCTTTGCATGGAAAATAAGTACTGTGAGAAGTTTTCTTTGAAAAATCCTCCATGAAAGAGTTTTTACTACTGATTTCATAAGGTTTTTCTCATAATTAAATTTGACCTGCTTAAAGCTATACACGAATGTAATAAAACATGGATTTCCTTCAAAAGAATCATCCTGTTCAGGATTCAAATCTGCATGCAATAACATAAAAAGCACACATATGACCACTATTCAAACAGGAATCTTTTCATACACACTAATACAAGATGACATCTGACCCTCAAACTACTATTTCTTAGGTACAAAAAATTTAATCTTTAACATTATAAGAATACAAAAGTTTCTGAATGAGAACTGAAAAATATCTGTAGAAAGAATAAAGTTATGTCATGATAATAATCCTAAACCTAGTTTTTAAATCTTGCTTATGGCTATTATGATTATCCTGAAGTAATGAAAAGTATTCTCTAAACATAAATCTTATTGAAACAACTAAACAGGAACAAGATAATTATATTTCTTCAAACACCCAACTGCATACATTTTGACAGAAGAATGGGGGGGGGGAAGACTACTCCAAAGAAATAAGTTGAAATGCATGAAAAGTATAGTTTAAGCTAAAGAACATCCAACCAGAGATTTAAATATCCTGTTGAATGCATTTTTATCTTAAATACTTCTATTTCTTTTAAGTGTTTGAAATCTTACATGAATTCCTTTCCAGCACTTTTTTTAGTAATTTTACTTTAAGGAAGGTTTTCAGAGCACTCCTTTCTCCTCGCCCCTGAAACAAGTAGGTTCAGAAAGAGAAAAACAACAGTAATGGGGGGGGGAGAGGAAACTTTAAAGTCCCTTCTGTAATTATTAGTATATGTTTTTACACAAAAATTTCAAGAACATAAGTGTTTGAATACAAATGTCAGCTATTGTACATCATTTTATTACCTAAAAAGCTATCAAAACTACTATTTTGTTTTCACATTACAATGCAATTAATTAAGTAAGCAGTTTCTGTTTCTTGTTGTTAACTTTAAATTGGGCTTTGGCTTGAGTTAAATACTTGATTTAGAGAATAATGTATTTCAACTTTTATATCATTATAAAAAGATATACAATCCATAATGCACCAATAACTTTTTATAAGATTAGAAATGAGACAATAATTTTCTAATTAATTATTTAACATTATGCTTTTGTATACATCTAAAAATACTACTGGAAAAAGAAACAGGAACAAAAGCAGAAACACACATTACAAAACATACCTGCAGAGATTTGATAACCAAGAATTTGTCATCAATACCGTCAAGATGTCATACTTAATTCTTCTTTTGTCACATTAGAATTTTCACCTATGCAAGGAATTAGGCCACTGGATGTTTCCAAACTTAACTAAATAGAATGAAAATGTTGTAATAATGTTTAGAATGAAATTTACATAGGTATTCTCTAGCCCTTGACTGAGGTCTATATTAATAGTTAAGAATGCCTCAGAATCTCAGAAATAATCTTTAAAACAAAAATAACATTTTAAGGTAAACATAAAACATTAACAAATTATATATACACAAGGAAACATTATATCATATACTTTATGGCTACATAACTTACAAAGAAAAGTCAGCCAATAGGTTTGCTAATCAGCTTTAAAGCCTACAGAAAAAAAAATTATTAGAAATATGTAATGAGATTTCATAGTATCTCCTTTATTATCTGTGACATAAAGCCAAGAGTGAGATAAATGTACAGATTTTAAAAAAACCTAATTGGCAGGAATTTTTTTCTTCTAAATTTAAAAGAAAATAATATATTTGAACACTTTACTTGAGTTTCATCAGTATCAACAGCATTATCTCCACAAGAATCCAAGAAAGGTGGGGTTATCTTTTTTATGGACTTATTTTCAGGACCTTCTTCTGGGTCCCTTTCTCTCTTCAATATAGGAGAACTGCTTTCATCACGTGGAAGGATTATACATGTCTTAAAAAAAAATTTAAATATCTTAACTAAAAATAATTGTAAAAAAATATGGTACCATCATAGATTTTGATCATTTTTTTATATAAATTATATTTTAATGTCAAAAATCTGAAAATAGAATTTAAAAAATGTTTCAGCATTACCTAAATTCACATTAAGTTAAGCCTTAAAGAATCCTGACAAGTTCTTATTCTAATGATAAATTTAGTAAGACAAGATTATTTGACCACAGTTTGAATAATCACTATAAAGAATTTGGCATAGCGAGATCTAGAAGCTATAGATGTTTTTCAGAAGCTGGGTAATCTGACGAACGCAGAAACTAGACAAAACAGACACATGATAAAATTAATTTAAACGAAAAAAATAGTTGCACAGCTGCTAGAAACCTAGCTTTCATAGAATTGGTTTGAGGGTAGCTCTTTTGTAATCACGTTAGGATGCAATCACACCTGGCAGTTCTAAAATGAGATCTATTAAATACAAGAAAGGGAACTCATATCACATATCATTAAGAATGACAGTTATTTGGTATAATTATTTAAACTAAGTTGTTTGCATTCTACTGAATAAATGAGAAAAACTGCAAAATACAGTGAGAATAAATTCACTGCAAAAGACATTTGTATTGGAACTTACTAAAACAATACATAATCAATGGTATTTGTCACAAAATAAATAAATGCTCCATAAAGTTGGATGTAAACCAGAAATGTAAAAACTTTACTGCATTGATTACAGGTAATGTAGCAGGTAACTAGATAATATTATAAGAAATGAGGAAAACAGAAATATACACAAACAGTGATGCTAATGTTTCCTTCAGATGTCAAAGTAGGCAAAGTGACCAAAGATAACAGAAAAGTGGCCTTTCCTTGAAAGTTCTAAATCAGGAGGAATTATTGCACAAAAATATCGAGACAATTTGTACAGTAATACATTATGCAATTCTAAGTTTAAAAATGATGAAACAAAAATTTATGCCATGTTACAAAGCATAAATATTAGTGACAGTAGAAAAACAAAACTGTTCCTACGTGCAAAATAAAGCAATTGGACCACTTACTGAGCTGAAACTGAAAATAAGAGTATAAATGACAAACTTTTACAGGCAACAAAAAATAAACTATATATATTGCTTATCCTTACATTTTTGCCTGTATTTAACATATTAAACTTATCTATTCTTCCCACTATGTACAGTCAAAAGTCGTTAATTCGGACACCCATAATCCGGAATAATCTATAATCCGGACCTCAAAGCTACAAGCTTTCTGCGCATGCACCAACGCACATAAAACTTTTACGGCTGCGAATATGCGTTTGGATCTGGCTTATTATTTTCTGCAGACTGTTAGAGCAATTTTATAAAAGTAAGCTTAAACTTTCGATTATGTCAAACAGAATTTCCGATATATATTTACTAATATGTAAAGGATCTACAAAGCGAAAGTATGTTTCGAATTCCATTAAACAAAAAGTGGAATTGCTGCAAAAAATGGATAAAGGCATAATCCTTTGTTTATCTAACCATTCCGAAATCTGTTTATCAATTAAACAGATAAATAGAACCGGCAGGGGGGGGCGCTGGAAGTTTATCTGTCAGCACTATTGTTATCTTCAGGGCAGATGTTTTTATTTTATTTGGCTTATAATTCCTTCCTAAATGTAGTATTTCATCTCGATGTACTCCGGTCTTTGATATGATTTAAATCAAATTCCTCGTCATTATAATTCGCTTCCGATAGTGAAGAAAGTGACACAGAGGTTATTGAAAACGAAAAAACTTCGATTGACAAATTAGTCGGTATTCTCGACACAACAATTATAGGACTTGAACAGCGGAACTTTGTAACTGAAAAAGAAATTATGTCTGTTTATAGAATTAAAGAGAAAGTATTATCACATAAAACGAAGCAACTTAAACAACTCACATTGAAAGAAATGTTTAATAAAGTAAACAAATAAATATTAAGCTTTTTTTTTTTTTGTAAATTTTGATACCCTTTAGATCATAATTGTTCTTTATTTCATAAATTACGGTTTCATATTTTTAATTTTATAATTTCTGCATGCCATCTTACCAGATTTAAACTGATGATCTATAATCCGGAAAAATCGATAATCCGGACTCGCCGAAGTCCCGACGAGTCCGGATTAATGACTTTTGACTGTATATATCCTAATTCATACATCGATAAACCTTTTGGGTCATAATTGATTGATTCATTCTGAACTACTCATTTCTTTATCAAGGTAAATTTTGTAATGTATTTGCTAAAACGACCTTGCATACACTATCATTGATTTAAATTGCATAAAAAATAAATAATACCATAAACTAATTCAGTATGACTTCTAAATAGCTCTATGTAAGCAAAAAAACTTTTAAGTAACTCTAATAATTTTGAAGATTCAATTTCATATTAAGCATTAAGGTTAAAAACACTTCCTCTGCAGCATAAATACTATTTATATCCATTTTAATAGCATAAATCTTAATAAAACTATACTAAATACATCATAGAAAACTTAAATAACTACATCTTACCGAATTTTATAAAATGACAGATTGCATTAAGATGAAAGCAAGGGAGACTGATGTAAAAAGCATACTGTAATTTGTCTGTTATTATATTGCTAATCCATAGTAATAAATCTCATACTATTAAAACTTTCTAATAACATGCTCAATAATAAATATATACACAGTTTTTTCTTGCTTTTCAGAATTGTTTAAATAAATAAAAACTTGCATCTCAATGTTGTATACAGATTGAAAAATCAAAATGTACACACAATATTTAACACATCTTGTGCAGGAAACGACTATTTTATGCAGATTGGTACTCGAGCGCAGGACGCAAGTAAAGTTGTTTTGTATAAATTGGTAGTCGAGGGCAAGTAACGACAAAAGTCATTTCCTACAAATTATTGTTAATGGTGTAAGTTTTCAAAAGTCAAACCACTACTGAATTACTTTATTCCCAAGCCTATCAGCAGTTTTCTTTAGATGAAGGCATAAACCTTGGAGGGGAAGGTTATTCTTCAGAGTTTACAACGCAATGAAAATTGTAAAATATGGAATTTTATTTCGTATACTGTGTGAAAGTACTACAGACTACATGTGTCATTTTGAAATATATGGTGCTCAAGGAAAGCAATTGATAGAGTAAACTCAAATGGTTGTATCACCTCATACAGACTTGTGGCACCTTCTCTACATGAATAGCTACTACAATAGTGAAAAGCTATTACCAAATAAAATTTGCAGCACTATTAAAAAAAACAAGGGATTTCCGGATTGCCTAAAAACCATTTCATTAACAACAGGAGAAATGGCATTCAGAAGAAAAAGAGACATTTAGTACACGTACAGTAATCAAGGAAAACAGTGCCACTCATATCGACCATACCTTCATTGTATTGATCAAAAGTCATTGTATTGATAGAAATATGAGGGAAAAAATAATGATGCTTAACGTGATGATTAACTATAAGTACATAAAAGGTGTTGATCGAGTTGACCAGCATCTATCACATTACTCCCTTTTAAGACAAACAATTCAAATTGCGTTTTTCATGTCTCGAAAGCCTGACTTAGGATATTTATTAGATTTATATAAAGCACTATTTTAACATAGGTATTTCGATACAGAATCGGACTTTTTCTGAAATAACATACCAATTTTTTTCCATATTTCAATTCTACGACTCACATTATGCCAGAATGCAAAATTTTGTAAAAATCGTATGAGTAGTTTTTAAAATATTAGCTCCTCAATGTTAATTGAATTTAAAAAATATTTATTTGTATTTCCTTCTATATTAAACTTTTTTTGATTTTTCCTTTCACATTTCAAAATTTAGGTTCATTCCAAATAAAATTTACCCATTTTTTGTGTTTTATTTTTTCAATTTCTATTTTTAAATAATTTTTTGAAAAAAATTTAAATTTGACCTATAAAATTTTTACTATCATTTTAAAGTGCGTGTATTTCTAAGCATACCTTCAAAAAATTAGACTTTTTTTATTCAAAATTTTCTAAGATATACATGAATTTACATATTTTCACATTTTGAAATTTCGCATCTTTTTTTTGGGGGGGAAGCGATAATAACTAATAACGCCAAATGTGGTTTATGGATTTTTGTTACAGTGAATTACCACAGCTATTTTTAACCTTAAATTTCAAATAAATTTTTGCAGAGAATTATATGAAATTTTTTCCCTCAATGATACGTAATAAATATTCATTAACACAATGTGAAAAAATATTAAAAATATTATTTTTTAAATTATAGATGATATTATTCAAATTAAAAAAAATTCTTGCTTTCTTCCATTTAAAAAAAAAAAAAAAAAAATATTTGTAAGAGTAAATTTTTCTCTTTGGCATTTTACCGTCTGTTACTTTGCTTTAACTTCATTTAAATCGAATTGTCTAAAACAGAGAGCTTTCATTTGATGTTTGAATTTTATGACATTAATTGCATAATTTATTTCTAAACAAGGTGTTGCTTATGAAGTGGCTGAAAGAGCAGCTGATTGATCCGTATTTTTAAAGCACAGTATATTTTTATAGAAACATAAGATTTAAAATAATTATTCTTATAAAAGTCAAATTATGATATAAACATACAACCCTCTAGAGATCGAATTAACGGAAGTTCAATGGTTATGTAAAAATGATCTACAGCTACTTAATGGCTCGATAAGTCAGCAGGTTTTGTGGACAAGTGAGAATTATATAAATGACACCCAACATTCTGGATTCAATTACCAACAAGGGTATGATGTTTATTAGATGAATTTAAGAAGTTTTTAAACATAAAAAATTGACTAATTTTTTTTATCCTAAAATGTTTTTTTTTTTTTTTTTTTGCCTTCGCGTATTTTCATTATATTCTTAAAATTCTAATTTAAAATGTAATTGTCAAAAACTGAATTCTAATCATCAGCAATATAATAAGTTATTATTACGGTTATTAACAAATCC